TCTCTCTTTCTTTCTCTCTCTCTCTCTCTCTCTCTCTCTCTCTCTCTCTCTCTCTCACTCTCTCTACACGCCCGCTTTAATTGCGTGTCTTCCTTCTTTCACTCAATTATCCTCCTCAAATCAACGCGGTTGGCCGTGTCGCAGAGACTTAAACAATGTTCCTCAAAACTAGGTGAGCCACTTTTACGCTGTGTGTACCGCGCGATCGGATCGCGCTCGATCTTTCCGGCTATTCGCCCGCGCAAAAACTATTCCGTCGTGGTATAACGCAAACGGAGTGTAGAATGAACGATTACGAAATATTAGAAGGCGAATTATTTTTCGTGTAACGCGATTGAAGTATCGCGGATCATCTCGACGTTTCATCCGCGTAGATTATTTCGTCGCGGATAAAACTGCGCGGAATACAAAACGACGAGGAGATAGATGAATAGCGGAATATATAGAGGAATCACTTTTACGCGACACGATGAAAACGCAATGGATCTTTACGATCTATTCGCCTCTGCGAAATACTCTGTCGCGCGACGAATAAAGAGACGGAATACAAAGAGAGAAGGTCGTAAAGCTTCCTGGCAAATGACAGAATTATCGTTATTGCTTTCGATTGAAAATTGATAAAAGCGGAATCTTCAAAATACTAAAATGCATGCGTAATTAAAGGGAACTTTTATAAAATATTTCTACTTTGCGATATTTAAACTTGCATAGGTAAAATATATGTAAAAGGTTGCCTTGCTATACTAAAAACGTTTCCTTCGAATCCCGACTACGTTCATTCTGGTTTTATTATATTAAAAAATGACAGTTACGCAATTAATGAAAAATATATACTGTTAAATTCATAATTCAAATTGTACCCAATTTTAATTAATGTCTACGTTCAGCAGAGAAAACTAATTAGTACTTAGTGATTCTTTAATATGATTGGTTTCTACACTTAGATCCAGTAAAAAAACTAAAAGTAAGAACCCATCATACATATTAAAAAATCACTAAGCGTTAACTGATTAGTTTTCTCTACTGAACGCGTAAGCACTTTTAATCATTTCTACAGACCACCACTTGTTCCTATCCAATGTAACCCCGATAATTTGAATTAAGATAATAGAGTTGAACAATTTAGCTCAAGAAAATGATATTAAATTTGACTTAAATTTAGTTTATCATTTACATGGCATATACATATTAGATGTTCACTGACCACAGAAATAGATTAATTTGACAGATGGAAGTTAAAAATAGCAAAATGCTATTTAAGAATGTTTTAGCTGTACAATATCAACTAAACATATCAGTCAAGCAATTAGTCAAAATAAACTAATACGAGCCGATAACATTCAAAACATATTAGTGATATTAGTCCGTAAATGTGTTTCGAAATCAACTGCAAAAAAAAAAAAAACAAATAATTTTGTTTATAATGGTTTTATTGCAGCAAAATGACCATATTTTTCTGCACACACATACATACACAAGTCAATAACTTTTAAAACAAATAAGTAAACCTGAACTTAAACAAAATTGCACAAATATTTATTATCGTTTGATCAGTATACGTTTAAAATTGGATTTAATTCTTAATGTTACTTTCTCATCATATTTACAAATAAATACCAAAAAACGTAATTTTACACAAGAATCACAACTAATTAAGAAATTAAATAACTTTACCATGTTGACACTATGTGACAATCGAATACGTTAAATGCTCCCCTCCCTCTCTCTCTCTCTCACTCTTAAAAATATTATTCTTTTATCAACCACGGCATATCGATAAAAGTTAATATCGGAAGTAATAAGAATTCCGTTATTATCGGCTTAACAATGCATATTTTCAAATTTTCTTTCTGCCAGTGGTTTGGACCTACAGAGATAAATCGTACAATCGTGACACGATGGATTAGATAAGTCAGGAGGCAGACGAAAAGAAGGTTGAAAAATTAACGCGAGACAATCGATTATCGTCTTTCTCGCCCGTTATCACAAATTATCAGCGCGTCTTCGCGGTCGGCACGCCAGGTAACCCAATTTCGCGATATCAATGTGCGCGCGTATCCGTTACGCGACTCACGTGTCCCTATAATATGTAAGTGCCGTGCGACACGCACGCATAGTCTTGCTGTATACACATAAGGCAATTCGCGCAGCGTTTCGATTTCGCGAATAGATTTCAAACGAGCAAGTTTCTCCGAGCGTTGAGGAACGTACGTTGCAAAATATGTATTATTGCGCTCTTTAAAAGAAGAAGTGCAAAAAATGTTTGACGATTGCCGAAAATATTAATACACTTTGAGTTCTCTGGAAAGGAATTTTAAGCGTCGTCTCATAATTCTGGTTCAATTAATTAATTTCTTTCTTATAAAATCAAAACAAACTGAACTAAAAACGGACGGAGGATTAATTTAACCAGGATTAATTGAGTTTCGTTAGATAACAAGCCTTATATAACGAACTTTGAGAATTCCATTAGTCCTGCAATAGCAAACATTTGAAGTAGTTAAGTCGAGAGCAAATTTTAGTGATCCGATTGAAATTAAACGAACGCGCGTCCCGAAACGCTTCTAAAACGTTTCTCCGACTTTTCGGGAGTTTGGCAGCAATGCGCCGATCGATGTTCGTCGTTGTGATTTCTCGCGATAATCGATCGCACAGGTGAAACAGCACGCTCGTGTACGCGCATATTCCGCGAGTGTATAGATAGAGGTTGGCGAAGTAAGTGCGTCAGGTGCTCTCGCGCATACATTCACAATCGTGCGTTACCTGCAAGCGTTCGCAGGTGCGTCCACATCGAGGGCATTTCGAAGGATAGCCGGGGAAACGGCAGATGTTACGAACGTGACGACCAATGAGATACAAAAGGGAACGACGAAGGGCGAAAAGAGATCAGAAAAGAACGGAGTTTGGAAGACGAGGAGTTGGATCGGGGAAAAAGAAGTAGGACATTTGTTTTCACGTCTTATTCGAACAAAATATGATATAAAGAAAGATTAGAGAGAGTTGACATTTACGTTGACAGTACAACGTTTAGTGAGCTGCGAGCTGAGAGAACCGAGCGACGAGAATCAAATAGTCGAATGATGTAGTTGTAATTTTTAGGGTTGCCACAAAACTATTAAATGTACAAATTAGTTCGGTCCGTTTTTTGTGTTCAAAAATGCATTTATTTCAAAACAAAATGAACAGATTAATTAAAGTATTGTCCATCGCTGGCTACTACTTTTTCCCATCTCTCAGGCAATTTTCGAATTCCATCTCGAAAAAATGACTCGTCTTTGGAGGCGACCATCTTTTTGGAAAACGGACCGAACTAATTTGTACTCCCAATAAAAGCGAGGGGAATTAGAAGGAAAAAAAGTCAGAGAATTTGCCAAATTTTGGAAAATAGAATTCTTGCCTTCTTAAAGTAGTTTAACATACATACGTACACCACTTGTGTAGTTTTTGGAAAAATTAACGATTAAATGCAATCAGTGCGAGCGACATTAATAATAATTAAATTGCTTTCTCGATAAAATATTTGACGGGTTCCAAATCAGGACACCTCAAGTGTACTTGAAACGACCGCGTTCAGGTAGTCAGTTTGGAGGACGACAGAGATTTTTGTAATTCGCATTTAAGACTCGTAAGTAGCGGCATCGGTAAGACGTCCCGAGTCACACAGGTGGCGAGGATAATAGGAGAGCGCGAGGTGTCGTGAAGATTTTCTAGGCGTTCTCTTTGACCGTGCAAGCGCGAGCGAGCGGATGAAAGGCGGCGAGGAGCGTTGAAACGAGCGCAAGAGAAGGAGAGAGGCCGAGGAATGAGGGGAAAGAGAGAGAGAGAGAGAGAGAGAGAAGGCGCGAGCTTAAAGTTTCCCCGTTATCGGCGCACGTCTAAGCAACTGATAAAAGCCCGTGTTCTTACGGACAGATAACAGGCGGAATGGCCCGGTATAAAGAGTCATAGATAGAGGCAGATAAAGCACGGTCCACGGAATGAACAGGTGAATGTCGCGACGTGGGCAGACCAACGCCCGAACCTCATCGTATTCGCGGCGCGTGCCGATCATCCGCCTGGCGATTCGCGCGCGCGATCCCTCGCTCCGTTCTCGACCGCTAACTACCGCGGAGGAATCGATCGTCGATCGACCGTTATCTCGTCTCCGAGCTCTTCTCCTTGGTCGCCGCGCCGTATAGTGGATACGCGAAAGTGCGCGCGCGTTTTTTCAGTTTTCTTGTGTTCCCGCGACTCGCGCCGCACCGAGCGCCGCGGCGACTCTTTACGGAAATAACGTTCTTCCCGTTGCGCGACGAGTCGCGCAGCCCTTCGTCTTCCTGCCTCCCCCCCTCCCCCCTTTCTCTCCTCTCCGCCGTTCCCTTCATCCCCCGCCGCTCTTCCTGTCTCTCTCTCTCTCTCTCTCTCTCTCTTCCCCTCTCCCTCCTCCCCCGCCGATCTTCTCTCTCTTTTTACCCCTCTCTTTCTCTCCATCTCTCTCCGCTCTCTCTCGTCTCATTTCTCTCGTCTCCTTCTTATTTCCGCCACCCGCGGCATATAGAAAATCCCTGTACCTACTTACCCTCGTCCCCCCCTCCCTCCTTCCCCCCTCTCACTGTTTCTTTCTGTCTCGTTTGCTTTTTCCCTCTATCGTCTCTCTTTCGCGCTCGCGAAAGATACCGTCCGGTACATAAAACCTCTTGGAGATATCTTCTCTCCCGGCGGCCGTGGCGGAAAAAGAAACCCAATATTTCATGGAGACAGATCGTTATTGGGGCGTGCACTACAGGTACTGTCCCGCTCTCCGCGGATCGATCTCTCGTGGCAGGGGAAACGGTACAACGGGGATGACTATTGCGGCTTGGGAAAAAGCGGGGGGAAGGGGGTTCCTCGTCGTCTCTTAGGGTCGTCGTCGCCGATGACTTTTCGATGAAAATCCGTCGACATGAAAAGAAAGCCACTCGGGGGAAAAGAAAGGAGAAAAAGTACTCGATCGATCTCTTCCGTTTTTCTGTTGCAGCGGCGGCATGGCCGGGCAGCACTACTGCCTGCGTTGGAACAACTACCAATCGAATATGACGTCGGTGTTCCACCAGCTCCTGCAGACCGAGGCCTTCGTCGACGTCACCCTGGCGTGCAATGAGGCCTCGTTAAAGGCGCACAAGGTAGGCCGGTATACGCGCGACATGTACGGAGAGAGAGAAAGAGAGAGATCGATGACGCGACCGCGATCGAACGTCAGACCTCGATCCAAGAATGAGAAATTACGACGTCTACGATACATTATTCCCGAAGCGAACCAAAATTCGCGCGGCAAAACGTATTAATTTAAAAAAAAAATAAATAAATTATATAGGTTAAAATAGCGAATTTTTAAACGGATGTTGAAAATATCGATAAATTTCCAAAGTTGAATTGAAGTGACGTCTATGTTTGTCATACCTGGCTCTGTCATGATTATTCAAAGTCATCATGCGAAACGGGATATGTAGCGGATCGTAGCAACGTTTAAGCGTATAGAAAAAGAGCAATTTTACTAAAACATAAGTATTTAAAATTTAGGTAGATACATCTGAAGATAATTTTATCGAATCATTAATTAAAATAATATACGAAACGTTCAAGCGTGATGAAAACAATGTTGCGAAAAGTGGTTTGACATTCTAGCAATTACGACCTACATATTTTGATAATCCAACAAGATTATTTTCACCTGTATCTAATACACGTATATATGTATACACACTTACACGTGTATCCGCTTAGATAAAACGCTTTCTGATTTTTGATATATCAGTATAGCTAATTGAAGTGTCGATATTTAGCTTCGAAACAACGGAGAAAACTTGCGACGATAGAGGTGCTTGGTAATTTCGACACGTTCGAGAAGTAAAATGAAAACAATCGCAATACACGAGCACTCCTTTCGCATTAGATTCGCGTGTCGAGATTTAATCGGAAGCGTCGACGCGTCTATCTACATTTACTCACAACGATTCTTTTCCACGTGTTCAGGTGGTGCTGTCGGCTTGCAGCTCCTATTTCCAGAAGCTCCTGCTGTCGAACCCCTGCAAACACCCGACGATCATCATGCCCCAAGACGTCTGCTTCAACGACCTCAAGTTCATCATCGAGTTCGTCTACCGCGGGGAGATCGACGTTTCGCAAGCGGAGCTTCAGGTGAGCGCGCGAAGAATAAGGTCGATCTTTCGCCGCGTTCGTCGACCGGCGGGGCGACGCGACGTCGCGAACGACGATTTCTCCCTCGACGCAGTCGTGCTCGCGAATCCAACGTGAACTTTTAGCGACGAGAGCAGAAACGCGACAATGTTACTCGAGGGTATCGAGGAGCGTCACAAAATAACGAATGAATTTCTTTCCTCTCGTTTCCAAGTCACTGAACAACTAGTGATTGGCTCTCATCTTGTTAGGATACTAACGCTACTTTACTCGATCAGCACGATGATATTACACTCTCGATCTTCTCGTACGGCAATTTTTAGGAATATCGAGTGTCCATTTGAGAATACAATACAACAACATTTAAGACCACTGTCTAAACTTCCTTTTCGCTTCTTATTACGTCCCTTGCTTCTTTATTTTTGTCGCCTAAGATAAAACCTGAAGAGCTTATTCGAAAGAGACAATTGAGATACGTGACGAGAAACACGTGTTTGTCAATAAAATTGTTGCGAACATAGAAAAAGGCAAGAGATAAAAAGTAAGAAACAGAAGAGCACACTGTTAGATTAGCAGGAATGCTACAAAATCCTCATTCTGAAATTCCATATCTTTTCTTTTCTCTAATTTCCAGATAGAATTTCATAATTTTTCCCGATTTTCAATAATATTTTGAAATTTTGTGTAGTTTCGTTCCGATTTGGAAACCGTCAGATATTTGAGACAGCAATTTAACATAACAATACAAGTAAAAAATACTATTAATGTTACTGACACCACTTGATAATTATTAAGTTGCTGTTTCAAAGCTGTAACGTATATACTGAAAAAGTCTGAATCTCAAAGAAATATTTCGTTGCTCGTATTCAAAAAATTTGTTTCTTCGGATCAATGAAAACTCTTCTCTTTAAAATTAAGATATTTTTTTATGTTATATTTTACTTTAACAAAATGTCACAGTTTCAATGAAATTTTCACCGATCCACGGAAATAATTTTTTTAATACGAGAAAGAACTATAACTTTCAAATCGAGATATCTTTTTCAGTATACGCATATAAAATTTTTTTTAAACCAAGAATTTTAATTTAGAAAATTTTGCAAAATTCCCTGATTTTTTTTTTTTCCAAATTTCTCTGATTTCCAGTTTTGTGGTAACCCTGATTAGCCTTTAGGAAGGTATTTGCAACGACGATCGACACCGATGCTCAAATCGAGTATCGCGATGTTGGTCACAGCTCGCAATCGTCAAAAATACCGGTCGTGACTTTCTCGAGATGCCTGCTTAGACGTTTCTTCAGAGTCTCCGTGCGTGTGTGTGTGTGTGTGTGTATCGAAATGTCTCTGGATTTCGTAATAACAAACACGATCGCTCTGTTTTATCTTATCGCGCTTACGCGTTATTACGACGCACTAAGAATCGTACACAGTTATGCCGTCTTGTATATACCGCGAGATATACTTCGCCGAACTGATAACGATTCCCGCTCGGACGGATGCGAACCTTATCCGATTTCGAGAGCACGACAAAGAAATGCTTCCTCGCGGAATCTGATAATATACAGTATCTCACGAATCGATCTCTTTAAATTACATATATTTGCGAATTTTTTCTCTGCGTGACTTCACGTGATTTATCCGCGTAAAACTCGCGGCGATGGAACTCGCTCGCGTGCATCGGCATGCTCGAAACGGCGAGAAAGTACGCCGGCTTTTTCTTCTTCTTTTTTTTTTTTCTTTCTTTCGGTGGTTTAAGTGCCTTCATAGTCCTAGTTTGGATTTTTTTGAGCACATCTCTGGAATTTACACAGCGCGCACGGTAAGACAGATGTCAAAGATATTTCCTTACCAGAAATCGTCTGTCAATATATACGGAAAAAACGTCTACGGTTGCGAGTTTATGGATGAAAATTATCATTATTTCCGGTTGTGACATCCGTAACATTTTATCTGTATTACAATATCTAGCAAAGATCTGTGAGTCATTCTAAAAGAATCCACTGACATGCTCGAACATATATTTTTAAATCTTAAGCGAACAAATGATAGGAACTCAGAACTTCTTAATGCATTACTTATATTAGTACGATCCTTCGAAGATAAAAGAAACTCATCGAGACATAAAATGACATCTATAAGAGTGTATATATAAAAAGTCATTTTATGTTTCGATTTTCAATTTATGCATTTCTATTTAAATTATAACTTTAATATCCATTAACTTACTTATCGTGTATCTTTTTCTATTATACACGGTAAAAAAAATATTTTTAATTTAAGTAATTTTTTTTAAAATAAAGTTTCAAGTAAATATTTCTTTACAAATAAATATTTAGTAAATGTAAACATAATATATTGTTTGCAATACAATAAGTAACATATGTTTACATTTAGTAAATATTTACTTGCAGAAAAAATGTTTATTTGGAACTATTATAAAGAAAAAAAATACTCAGATTTTACTTTAGAATTCTAAGAATTGTGCTCATTTCTATAAATGTAATTCAGTTTTAATCTTATTGTTAGTTCAGTTATAGAAAGAATAGTTTCACTAACGTATCTAAAAATTCAGCTGGATACAGATCTGAAAATAATTTTGTTACAACCATCAAAATAATTATGTAGGACGCCTCAAACTGATTGCTAAAATGTTAAAATTTTTTGCAGCGTTGTCATTAATAACTTGAACGTTCTACATAATTATTCTACAAAACCGTTCTTTCCGCGTATAATTATTCTTTATTTGTTCTAATTCTAACAATTAGAAAGCATGCAGAGCAAGTTAAACCGAGATTAAAATTAATCTACATTGGTAAAAATGGGCATTAAAGAAAGAAATAGCATCACAAGTAAAACCTAGATTAAAGTTAATCTACCTTAGCAGAAACAAATGTTGTGTATTTATTTGTGTATATCTACGTATATCCGCGGGTGAGTTTATATAGATATATCGGATATACAGACACGAGTTTTACCGACACGCAGTACCTTTTTACCGATCGAACGACCTATACGGTTATGTCGTATCGTTACCGACCGTCGGAATATTTGGCCGTTCTCTCATCTGGAGAGGTTACCTTCCTCCGTGTTCCGCTTCCTTCCCGGTTAATCTTATTTCGAGATTTACTCACGATTATATTCGTGAATTCAATTCGACCGACAAAACTTCTCGACGACGAACGAACGCTACTTTACCGATTCCCATCTCTCGCCATGGGTTCTAGAATTACCAACCTAGCTCTTTTTCGTGAATAAATTGTAAAACTTCTGGTCTCTCATTAACTAAAACTTTATATTTACAAAATCATAATTATTATAAATTTTTATTAATAAGTTGTCAGCACAAATGTTTTAGAAATTTTATTGTATCGAGATATCTACGTTCGTTTTCAACGTGTATAAAAAAAATTATATCTCCCGCTGCCACCTACGAACGTTTTTTTTTTTCCAAAAAGTGTAATCACGCTACGGACTCCCAACTCAGAGTCGATCGAACAGAGTAATTTTTATTCTCGAAGTCGGCAGTCAGAGTCGGCTGGTGCCTTGCTGCGATTGGTTGAATTATAGTCGAGAGTCGGGAGCCTGTAGTGTGATTACCGGTTGTCTCTTCCGTGGCGGCGACCCTGTCGGTAAAGCGACGTCCCTTATCGGTTTGTTCGCGGCGCCGCCGCCGCGCGCGCGCGCATCTCGTTGCGCGTTCGAAATACCCGCTCCTACACGGCCGGCTTGCCGGCACGCGCGCGGATCGCTTTTTCGCGGAGTCTCGGCGATATCGCGCACGCCGTCCGGTTTTATCGCTGCGACGGCGACGTGCGCGCCTGAAAAACTTTTCCCGTGGCCCGCGTATGTGTGCGCGGTGCGTGCGTGTGCCCTGTGTGTGTTCCCCACGTGCCTGTGAGTAGTCCCTTTGTGCGGCCGAGTGGGCTGAGTGCTCCAGATTTTCTGCACGGAGGGAGATATACCCAAAAGGTATACATCGCGGATAAGATAAGAAGCGCGCGGATTACCCGGCCTAAGGATGTCTCGCCAGTGATAAGAGGTACGGACTCGTAGCTCTGTGCGCTACCCTTCCTCTTCCGTTTTTCTTCTTTTTTTTTTTTCCTCCCCCCCTTTATTCTGGCCTTCGTGGCGGATTGTGATTTTTATCGCGGTGAAAACAAAGATACGTGCAACGTGCTTCGGATGCTTGCAGATCCTCGTTGGATGCCTTCAGCGTGATCGTTGACCGGTACGGTCACTTTTGAGTAACGCGAGACTTGAACGCTCCGCGGCTTATCGTCGCATAAGAATACGAGCCATATATTCTTTTATCGTCGCGATGAAATAAAGAACATGGTGATAGTGGATAGTAGCGACGCGATTTATCATAAATTACGGTTATAACTCACTGTATTGAGTTCTGCTTATATACGAGGGTAATTCTAATTACGTTGCAAGTATTGATTAATTTAATACGTAAAACGGCTATTCGATTTCGGAAACTTGACAAAAACAATTGCGATGCGAACAACGCGTATCCTTGGATATAGCTGTTTTGGTTTTTGCGCGGGTAATTCATTTTGCGTCTGACCTAATTAATAAATTACATTATCTTTAAATCATCGAAAATAATTCCCGGCGTAATGCAATTTTATCACGTTATATAATTCCATTCAAGTCTGTCACTATATACGTGAAATTTATTTTTGCGCACTGAAAATTTTACGCATTGTCAAAGCTCGTTTCTACATAACTCAATCTGTAGAATTAACATATGTCTCCATGAAATGCAGGAAGTCTGTCGAACTTTCGACGATTTATAGCGTTTCATGAACCATAATTTATCGTTGAACGAATTTTGCGCACGGCAGTATTTTATTTTATTTAAAATCAAACGATGTACATGTATATAGAGGAAAATAATGCATTATATATATAATGCATTATATATAAATCGCATTGTAATGCTTCAAATTATTAGAATACGCTGATAGAAATAAGAGATTTGGTATTTGTTATTAT